TCGAACTGAGCTCAAACAATCCTCCCGCCTTGGCCTCCCAGAGAGCTAGGATTACAGGCGTGAGCCACCGCGCCTGGCCTAGACAGAACTTTCTTAATGTAAAGAGGCTAATTTCCCAAGAGGCTCTTTAAGTGCAATGTAGAATGAATAGACTTTTAAAACCTGCCCCTCCCCTACTAATACATCAGCCTGGCTCCGTGTGTCATCAGGAGCTTTGATGCAGATGAGATGCAACCCAGGACTGGCAAGTTTTGAAAAGGCAGTGAAGTCCAGAACATGGGACGCTGACTGAGAGAGGACATTCGCTGTCCCTTGGCAGCCAGGCTGGTGGAGGACGGCAAGAACAGAAAGAGGGCATTCACAGGGGATGAGGGTGTAATGCCAGGAGCCGGAGCCTCTTCGGGCAGCGTGGGGAGGGTACCGGCTGGGCAGACCTGATTAGGCAGATGAAGGGGGAAGGGAGGAGGAGGGAGAAGAGAAGCTAGGCTTATTCCATTAGGAGCTGAGGTATGCCTGGGACTGAATTCAGACCTTGGCAGCCCCAAGCTGCTGAAAAAGTGAGAGCAGGACACACATACACACAGACACACAAACACCTGCCCTGTGTAATCCAAAATAAAATGTTATTTTAGGAATTGACACAACTTCCGTGATTCCTAAAATTAAACTAGCTTCCTTCTAGATTTTCTGACTTATGTTCATCAAACAAGAATTATTTTTTCTCTTTCTCTCTCATCTTCTCTCTCTCTTATTGTTTTGTGCCCCTGCCCAGAGAATAAGATTTTCTCCCTTTTGCGTAGCACTTTTCAAAGCACTTTTCATTTCTTTTGTCTCCCCAAGAACTCACTTTTTTCATTAAATCTGACCAGGCCAGGCACTGTGACTCAAGCCTATAATTCCAGCACTTCAGGAGACCGAGGTGGGAGGATCACTTGAGCCCAGGAGTTCAAGACCAGCCTGAGCAACATAGCGAGACCCCTGTCTCTACAAAAGATTTTAGAAAAATTAGCCAAGGCTGGTGGCAAGAGCCCATAATCCAGCTACTTGGGGGGCTGAGGCAGGAGGATTGCTTGAGCCCAGGAGTTTGAGGTCGCAGGTGGTATAATGATACTACCACACTCTAGCCTGGGCAACAGAGTGAAACCCAGCCTCAAACAAACAAACAGAAACCAAAAAAACTGACCAATATTGGCTTCCATGGGACCTTCTTTCCAACCTAGAGCTCCAAGCCTCCTGTGTTAGGCTTCCTGTACCATCCAGAGCAAAGAGGCAGGCACGGCCCTCCCCAGAGGAGTTTTCAAATGCACACAAGACATGAAGGACACGTAGACAGAAGGACAAACCAGCACTGAACAATTGTGTGAAATCAATGAATGAATAATGGATTGGTAATTAATATTGCATGTTTGGCCTGGGAGAGTAGGAGGGTGCTGGGGAGGCTTTGAATTCCCTTTTGTTCCATCCAACATGGAAGGCTTCAAGGAGCGGGTGAGGTTTTGAGGAGTTTCTCTATTCTTACCATGTCTCTGGTTGAAAAGGAAGGACAGGCATTTCTTCCCAATTTTGGCAGAGCAGGACTCTGAAGCCCAGAGAGGGAAAGTACTGTTTCAAGGTCACACAGCACATCGGTGACAGAGCTGGGGCTAAAAACAGATCTCCTGACTTCCGGTCAGGTGCTGTCTTCACCAGATGATTCCTTCCCTGCAAACCTGAGTAGGGGTGGGGCAGGACAGAGCGTGGACAGTGATTGGCCCAGTGCAGCATTTTATTTTCTGAGCTGCCTTTCTGCAGCACGCAGAGGTGAGCAGGACTCCCCCCTACCCCCCGGGACAAAAGTACTTTAAAAACAGCCGCACATCTCCTTCTGCCCTCGCCTTATCCTCCCACCAGCTGGCTTCACGCTTGCAAATTGGGTTCCATCACCTGCCTGGTAGACAGAATCTGTTGCCAGCTGTGCCCTGAATCCTGAGACCAGGGAGTCAGGAGCCTTGGAACTGCGGCTTTCTCTGTCCGTGACTCATGCCTGGGGGTTAAAAATTCCCTGAAGATAGAGCACCTTGACAAGGCCCTCAATCTTGGGAGGTGCCTGGAGTTAGGACCCAGACACGGCCTACACTCAAGAGAGGGATCACTCCAGGACAGACAGAGACTCTGGCAAACACAGGGCCCTTTTCCTGGACCGGGCATTTTCTAAGCTTTATACATATAAACTATAGGAATGGATATGATTACTAGCCACTATTTTACAGACAGGAAAACTGAGGCCCAGAGAGGTTAGGTAACTTGCCCAAGGTCACACAGCTGGTAAGTGGTGGAGCTGGGATTCAAATCCAGGCAGCCTGGTTCTGAAAGCCATGTTCCTAATCGTACAGGTAGGAAAGAAGCAAACATTTACTGAGGGCATTACTATGTACAGGAGGATTTTACATACATTCTCTCATTTAGGTACTCTTATCCCCATTTTACAGCTGAGAAAACTGAGGCTCAGTGGATCCTTTGGGGGCAACCTCTCTCAAAGTATAAAAAGGGAGGACATTTGAGATTGTCCTTAGTGTACCAGCTCTGGAACAGGCCTCGGTGACACCATCGCCACCTAGTGGCATCGTACCTTAAATGTAAGCAGAATATCTAAGCAGAGGAAGGTTGTCAAGTTCAACACAACAAAGACTTTGGGTTTCTGTTTTAATTTCTGTGCCCTGAACAATAGAGAAGTATAATTCACTAATAATAATCTTTTATATTTAAGATGTGGTCCTGGGCAGAGTTCACCATTTGTAACGTCATCCTCAACACTGATCCTCGGGGTA